GAGGGGCCTCTGAGCCCTGGTATCATTGCAGGTGGTACCACTGGGCTAAGAACCACAAAGCCAGCAGTTCAAAACCACCCATGGGAAAGAGAGGAACCTGTCTGCTCCCAGCCTCGGAGCGGCAGTTAAATAATCTGGTGTCAATTTGGGACTTGAGAGGATTGAGAGTGGAGGGATGGAGTCTAGTCTGCCCTCCTGCACAGTCTCTGTGGGCACGACCTTCTCCTGAGGATGCTGGGAACTCTGTACTTCCTCCTTGGAGGCAGGAGACACTCTTTCTGTTCACTTGCTAGGAGATGATCTACTGACAAGACACAGGGCACTATGCTGATAAACCCCATGCCCTGGGAACTATAGGAGCCACATGGAGACCGCTGCCAGCATTGAGATGCTTCTACCACCACTGGATCCACAAGACTTCGCACCCACTGGCCTGTGATCTTCTTCATGCAACAGTGGGATTAAAAGGTAATGAATTTTTTCTACAAACCTTACTTAAACCCTTTGTATTACCTTTTCTTGGTGGCCAGGGAGGTTTTATAATGCACGTGTTTTAGGATATGAAACGTGTGGATTCGGGGTCCCCGGCGCTTAAGATTTTCTTAGTACACATGAAGCTCCAACCCACAGCCTGAAACTGACCTGTTCTTGGCGTCCGGCAGGTCCCAGAAGAGCCCAGAGCTTCAGGAGCTTCTCGATGAAGACGGGGACCGAACAGCATCCAGGCACGGTGGACACCACAATGCTCCGTAGAAGCAGGGATGGCGAGAGTCCATCACATCTTCTGGGCAGCCTCAGCGGGAGGGGTCAGTCCCTGGAGAAGGACAGCGTGCTTGGTCAAGTAGAAGGTCAGTGAAGGAGAGGCAGGCCCTCAGTGACCAAGGCTGGTTTGTAACAACAGTGGACGCAGCCAGAGCCACCGTGGTGTGGCTGGTGCAGTGTTTCTGACTGCTGTACGTGGGGTCAGAGGTTAACATGAAAATAACCACCGCACGGTGGGGACGGGGACGGAGGAAGCTGCTCAAAACATTCTTGAGTTCAAGAAAGAGACAACAGAGGAATGGGGCGTATGGACGAGCAGGCCTTCTGCAGGATGCACGGTGCCCTGAGTAGGAAAAACACTGACCGAGCAGCTCCTGCCTTCTGAGTACCATTCAAGGTGTCCCACATGACGCCTCCTCCCAAGGGGTCCTGCTGAAAGGATCCGCCCCAGGCTCTGGGGAGTGGAGACCACGCAGGCAGACTGGTCACTGCACATCCAGAGTACTCTAGGGGTGGGTCAGCTTTCTTTCAAATCTGAACCTGGAACACTCATGGCCTGCCCTCCTGTACAGAGTCTCTGAGGCTTTTCCATGACTCAAGGAGAGAAAACCACCTCACCTCTCTCCTGCCAGCAGCCAGCGCGACCCACGTCGTCTCTGGGGGCTCTTTGGAAAGC